ACACACACACATAAGAAGTTCCTGTAGTTGTTTGGTGTGTGACAGTGTTGCCACGACAGCACGTGTAACAGCAGAGACTTTTTCAGTGTCATGTTGCTGCCATTGAGATGTTGTGTGTGTGAGCAGAGGTTGACGTGAACAAACAGTCTCTGGTAATGACAGGCATTTAGTGAGAATGACAGAAGTCCTGTGTGATTAAACAGCTACAGGAATGTGTGTAAGTGTGTGTTGCGCTTTCTAAGTGGCCTGCCATCCTATTGAGTCACAAGAACAGAACTGTTTGTGCTTGGCGGGAGAGAAGCAGTACAAACTCATTTATCTGGGCTCTTAAGGTATAAAAAAGGACTAAGTAGAAGTTTGGTCTGTGTATTGACGAGTGTTTGTGTTTTCAGATGTGTGTTAGTGTGTGAGCAGAGCTGCGCATTAGCTCTGCTGTTTGTGTCTGTTTGTGTGTTAATACTGATTAGATCCGATTCTCTCATTCACATGCTGCGCTGCCCAGTAGGAAGCCATCTGCCATCCCATATGGTCACCAGGCAGCTGAACTACGACCTGCACAGCAACGGCTGTCAATGTGTGTCTGTGTGAGTGTTTTGGAGGGTGAGAAAACAATGTGAAATCAATCCATGTTCTTAAAAGCGTATTAATAGCCATAGCAAATCAAGTTGGTGACAAACGCGAGAGAAGAAAACAAAAAATGAAATGTTTGAAATGATTAATATGATTCTGTGAAAAATGTTTGATCACAAAATACACAAAAAAAAGCAGGCTGAAAATAGATGAAGTGCCATCACTCACACATGATTTGAAATGACTGCAAGAAAGAACACATTCCTTAAAGGAAAAAAAACAAAAAAACAACGCCGGTCTGTTTGATTAACAGAATCAATAAGATCGAGCTGGTTGTTGATTGGAGAAGCTTGCAGAACGGTAAAGTTACCTGGAGACAGGCCAGCAGCCAGTCACAGGCCAGGGCCTGAGGAACTTTGTCTAAACTACAAACTGGGGACTCATCTGTCTGTAACACAGAGGAACCAGTGTACAGTAGGGTGCACACAAATGACACACAAGGGTTAGAACATCTGGAAACCACAGTGGGAGGGTTCAGCTGGTGTGCATTCAGAGAAAATAGTCACTTCCTACTACATGTGCACCATGAATAGGTCATTGGAAAGCTTAGTTTAGTTCACTTGAACAAAAACCGATGATAAAACAGTAAGCGGTCACTATTTTCTGGAGGTGAAAAAATGTAAAATTATAAACTCTGTGAAAAAAAATAGTGAAGGGGAGAGAAACGGTGTAAAAAAGAGAGAGAGAGAGAGAGAGAGAGAGAGAGAGAGAGAGAGAGAGAGAGAG